AAATATTTTCACTCGTTTAGTCTTGCGTGCTGTTTTCCCCTCGTCTTCTTTATAATTCGCGCTAATTACACAAGTGAGTCTGATGTATTTAATATTCGCGCTGCTTTGGATGTGAGCAGCGAAACAAGGACTTTACATGGAGCGGGGCGCGATGCGGGAATTCGACGTCCGTAAGAAGTTATCCATGTCCGGTAACAGCAAAAACCTCTTGAAGCCGTGTCGACAATCTCCGTGCAGGGACTGCAAGTAGCGAGTTTTCGGGGTGGATGTCAGCCTTAGCGACCGAGTCGACGCGTCGGGGGTGTAGTTGGACGAGGACCCATCTGCGGGATTCTCCCTGAAATTCATTATATATTTGCATATTTTCGTTTATATCACAAAACACTACTCGTCTAACGCCACAGATTGGATCCGTTGAATCGATTCTAAACATATAAATAATTAATAGCTCTCGTAATGCTGACAATGTCCGACACTTATTTAAAGGAAATAATATAAAGTTGATAGAGATAAAATAGATTATCATGCACACCAGCTATTATGCATAATTGTGTTAATATCTTGAATTTTCCTTTTTATGAAAAAATAAAAAAAACTGGATTATAGATAATATAGTATAGCAAGTGTAAAAATAATAAATATAAAAAATTGCGTTTCCTGATTAAAATAATTATCTGATTAATTTTCTCTGATAGGCCTAGCTTAATGATTCTCGTGTGTGTGTGGGTGTGCGCGCCAGAACGACGTACAGAAACATTAAACATATTGAACATCCATATTGAATGCTGATGTTACGCGGTGTCCTTATAGTTTTTAGTCCTGCCTATCGATTGTACGAAAGTTACTTTTCCAAAAAATTATGTATCGTCACGGATCTTTAAAGTAAAAATAGAATAAAATACAAATACATCATTCCGATATATAACACTGCATTTTTATGCAATAATATATTTAGAGAAATGCCACAAAATTTCATTAATGGTTCCCAACGTCACTTTCCGCGAAAATGGTAAATATAAAAATGGGATATCCAAATAAATTGTATTATTCGCATTGCAATTTTTTTTATCTCTTTAAAAAAAAAATTATTTAATTAACATTGGGATCCATTCACAGTAAAACATCTTAGAAATTAAAAGATCTAGAAACTAACACCGAGCTAATGTAACAAACTATACATCGATTCTAACCGTCTATAACATTGATCTACCAGCGATCTAACGATCTAATCACATCGAGCGGCTAGTCTCTAACAGAGAGACACTAACATCGAAACACCATACACCTAGCTACCGTGATGGTTCCAGGATGGTAGTAGAAGAAGACATTGAAGAACGTTTTTTTTGTACGTAGTGATTGTACATGGTGGTAGGTGGTTGGTTGGTATTTGGTGGATTATCTTTGACGTAACATGACGTGATGTGGCTGATAGATCTGTTGGTACTGACACACATAGATATGATATATTTTCTCAGTCTGTGGTAGGTAGGGCTCTACTTGATTACAGGTACGACAAAATACGGTTGACATCACATCGAGGTAGGAGAAGAGGACACGGCGGAAGACACGGAGAGGCGGCTACCTAATGGCCTGACCTTTCGACCAGATATCGCGGCGATCGAGAGAATCGTGGCGCACGGAACGACGGGAGCCAGCCGAGGCGTGCGAGGGCCCCGATATGTCTCTTACTCGGTTGCAATACCTCAGGATAGCCCGAGTCGGCCGGCATCTCCGACGCGGAACCTGTTCCCGACAGAGTGTTATGGTTGACAACACGGAATTGATTCGATCGACGTAGACGCAACTTTCTTCTACGCTACCGTAGAATTTTGAGAATCTAATATTCGATATATGTGTAGAGGTAAAAAAGAGACACACATATATGATCGAGAGATTAAAATCGATTAAACTTACCAACTGCAATTCCGTAATTAAACTAGTACGGATCTTGCTACGGTGTATCAATTAGTGAGCTTAAATATTGGTCAGTCAAAAAAAGAGATAAAGTTAACTTTTATCTTCGTAAAAGAAAGAACTACTCCTGTACGCAATAAATCATCGATAACACTTGCGAGATGGATATTAGATAATATTTTTTATTCGCGTGAAAAATTTGTTTATAAATATAAAATAAATTTTGTGAGAAAAAAATCATAATTCTTTCAAAAATAAAAAGAAAACTATTAATCTCAAATAAATCTCCCAACCGAGCAGACCGAAATGATCGATAGATTCTACTCACCCATGAACCTCTTCTCCGTGTTTGGGTAGTGATCAGCGAATGCTTCCATCATATCCTCGTATTCGAGCATATTGTTCTGCATGACGGGCAGCGGATATTCATCGGAGAAGTCGATCTGTCTCTTGTGCCTCGTCTGCGACGCAGTGTCCATCTTCCTGTTCGACCTATTCTTCATTTTGCCTTCGTCCAGGTCCTCCGAGACACTGAAGGGAGTTGTCTGCCATTCGCTTCCTTTGTCTTCGTTATATCCTTGCCTGATGAGTTGCTGAAGGTCCAGGGGCTCGCTGTGCGTCTCGCGATCGTCGTTCAACGATCTCCCGTGACGATTGAGCACTCGCGCGATTATCCTTCCCGACGTCATGCGACCTCGTTTCACGATACCCGGCCAGTCGGCGTTCCTCGCCAAGGAAGCGACGCTGCGCTTGCCGTCGTCGTATTCGCGGACCGTCTGATGGCCGCCGTTTCGCGCCAGGGAGCCCAGATAGCGTTTGCCGTAAGGCAGAGAGGAGTCCCTGGCTAGTGCGGCCACGTTTCTCTTGCCGTTCTGCGGCAGCATGTCATATCTCGCCAGCGAGGCGACGTTTCTCTTGCCGCTCAGCGGCAGCATGCTCTGTCTAGCTAGGGATCCAATGTTCCTCTTACCGTACCTCGGTAGACCGTGATCGCGAGCCACCGAGGCGATGTGACGTCTGCCCGTAGGCAACGCGAAATCCCGCGCCAGGGAACCGACGTTACGTTTGTCTGGCGGGTACTCGGCCACTTCTGGATCCAGCTCGGACAGGTAATCGTAGATCTCGGGCACTCGTCGACGGTACTCCTCGTCCAGCAACTCACGCATCAAGCCCTCCACGTTATCACTTAATTCAATAAACCAATTAATTCGTCAATTTAATTAACCAATTAATTCATTCAATAAACCAATTAATTTATTAATTAATTAATAATTTGATTGAGCATGTTAAACAAATAGAAAAACAGTAACTTTTTAATGATAAAATGTAAAACTACATTATTACATCATTAAAAAAAATGGTTTATAATTATTATAATTTAAGATTTTATTTATAATTTTAATTATTAAAATTGTTAAAATATACATATATAATAATTATTAGTTTTCTTATTTAAAAATTATCTTGCTGTTTTGTCTATGCAGAGAGATTTTAATTTTTCTATTGTCTCCCCATAAAAGTTTGAATTATTAAATGCATTTGAACATCAAAACCATTAAAATCTGCAGCAAATATATACCTAGAAGGTGCGCTCCTCTTTTCTTCGTCATCAACGTCGTCATCGCGTTCTTGTATACTGATCGGCAGGTCGTCGTTCTTGGCCAAAGTAGCGAGACTGCGTTTTTCTGATTCGGGAATTAAGTCCGTCGAATCGACTTCTTCGTCCAGAAGACGTCCGGGAAATTCGGGCAACTTGTGAGTACGCGCCATGACACTGAGATGACCTCGCAATGCCGGGTTCCTAAAGAGCTCCCAGTAAACATTAACGGGTATGCAGATCTCAGTGTCCTCGTTTTCTTCTGAACTGAGAGCTTTCAAATGAGCCATGTCGTTATGATTTTTCGTTTCCGGAATGATCCTTGCCGTTCTCGAATAGGCTGCTAGATTCGAACTGACCTCCGGTAGGCGCAACAACACCATAAAAGTCTTCTTTGGTATGCATTGGCTGCCTTCTTCGTATTGACACGTCACCTGAAGCGAAATGAAGAGCGATGTTATGGTTTCATAATTCTTTGTCGTATATACCAGCCACTTAACAAAATGCAAACGTTATTTCTTGCATGGAAAGGTTTAGATATATATTCATATCCATTAATCTGTTTTTTTATTAAACAATATAATTATATGTCATATATATAAAATTATTATTAATTATATTATAGTATTACATAGAATAATCATATATTATTACAACTTTAACAATTGTTTATTGTTTATCGACAAAATTGTTACAACAAACGAATAGTAAAAATAATGTATAAAATATGCAGAAATTCTGAAATGTTTTATAGAGATATACCAGAACATTCATTCTTCTCCGATTTCCTCGAATTGTCGATTTTTGTCACACGATCCTATTAAGTCCTTTATATATAACAATATTATCCAAAAACGACAAAGCCTGCGCCTAATATCACGCATGAGTGTGTTTCGCAGAATATCTCGTAAATATACTTTATCTCCAGTGTCGGAACCATGAACGTTTGACCAACCAAAAAATACCATAAAACGCAGAAAAGATCGATGCCTCTTTATTTTCCGCTTGATATCCCAGGAGAGATAGGTTCCAAGCTTATTCATTCCTTTATTAACAATAACTTTATCATTCTTGTATTTATGTTTATACAACTTTTAACTTCGCAAACTAAATTTTAACTATTATAATTTTTTACTTAAACGATCTTAGATAATAGAATTGTTTGTTAAAAACCAAAAATATAGTTATATATCACTCGTTTAGTCTTGCGTGCTGTTTTCCCCTCGTCTTCTTTATAATTCGCGCTAATTACACAAGTGAGTCTGATGTATTTAATATTCGCGCTGCTTTGGATGTGAGCAGCGAAACAAGGACTTTACATGGAGCGGGGCGCGATGCGGGAATTCGACGTCCGTAAGAAGTTATCCATGTCCGGTAACAGCAAAAACCTCTTGAAGCCGTGTCGACAATCTCCGTGCAGGGACTGCAAGTAGCGAGTTTTCGGGGTGGATGTCAGCCTTAGCGACCGAGTCGACGCGTCGGGGGTGTAGTTGGACGAGGACCCATCTGCGGGATTCTCCCTGAAATTCATTATATATTTGCATATTTTCGTTTATATCACAAAACACTACTCGTCTAACGCCACAGATTGGATCCGTTGAATCGATTCTAAACATATAAATAATTAATAGCTCTCGTAATGCTGACAATGTCCGACACTTATTTAAAGGAAATAATATAAAGTTGATAGAGATAAAATAGATTATCATGCACACCAGCTATTATGCATAATTGTGTTAATATCTTGAATTTTCCTTTTTATGAAAAAATAAAAAAAACTGGATTATAGATAATATAGTATAGCAAGTGTAAAAATAATAAATATAAAAAATTGCGTTTCCTGATTAAAATAATTATCTGATTAATTTTCTCTGATAGGCCTAGCTTAATGATTCTCGTGTGTGTGTGGGTGTGCGCGCCAGAACGACGTACAGAAACATTAAACATATTGAACATCCATATTGAATGCTGATGTTACGCGGTGTCCTTATAGTTTTTAGTCCTGCCTATCGATTGTACGAAAGTTACTTCTCCAAAAAATTATGTATCGTCACGGATCTTTAAAGTAAAAATAGAATAAAATACAAATACATCATTCCGATATATAACACTGCATTTTTATGCAATAATATATTTAGAGAAATGCCACAAAATTTCATTAATGGTTCCCAACGTCACTTTCCGCGAAAATGGTAAATATAAAAATGGGATATCCAAATAAATTGTATTATTCGCATTGCAATTTTTTTTATCTCTTTAAAAAAAAAATTATTTAATTAACATTGGGATCCATTCACAGTAAAACATCTTAGAAATTAAAAGATCTAGAAACTAACACCGAGCTAATGTAACAAACTATACATCGATTCTAACCGTCTATAACATTGATCTACCAGCGATCTAACGATCTAATCACATCGAGCGGCTAGTCTCTAACAGAGAGACACTAACATCGAAACACCATACACCTAGCTACCGTGATGGTTCCAGGATGGTAGTAGAAGAAGACATTGAAGAACGTTTTTTTTGTACGTAGTGATTGTACATGGTGGTAGGTGGTTGGTTGGTATTTGGTGGATTATCTTTGACGTAACATGACGTGATGTGGCTGATAGATCTGTTGGTACTGACACACATAGATATGATATATTTTCTCAGTCTGTGGTAGGTAGGGCTCTACTTGATTACAGGTACGACAAAATACGGTTGACATCACATCGAGGTAGGAGAAGAGGACACGGCGGAAGACACGGAGAGGCGGCTACCTAATGGCCTGACCTTTCGACCAGATATCGCGGCGATCGAGAGAATCGTGGCGCACGGAACGACGGGAGCCAGCCGAGGCGTGCGAGGGCCCCGATATGTCTCTTACTCGGTTGCAATACCTCAGGATAGCCCGAGTCGGCCGGCATCTCCGACGCGGAACCTGTTCCCGACAGAGTGTTATGGTTGACAACACGGAATTGATTCGATCGACGTAGACGCAACTTTCTTCTACGCTACCGTAGAATTTTGAGAATCTAATATTCGATATATGTGTAGAGGTAAAAAAGAGACACACATATATGATCGAGAGATTAAAATCGATTAAACTTACCAACTGCAATTCCGTAATTAAACTAGTACGGATCTTGCTACGGTGTATCAATTAGTGAGCTTAAATATTGGTCAGTCAAAAAAAGAGATAAAGTTAACTTTTATCTTCGTAAAAGAAAGAACTACTCCTGTACGCAATAAATCATCGATAACACTTGCGAGATGGATATTAGATAATATTTTTTATTCGCGTGAAAAATTTGTTTATAAATATAAAATAAATTTTGTGAGAAAAAAATCATAATTCTTTCAAAAATAAAAAGAAAACTATTAATCTCAAATAAATCTCCCAACCGAGCAGACCGAAATGATCGATAGATTCTACTCACCCATGAACCTCTTCTCCGTGTTTGGGTAGTGATCAGCGAATGCTTCCATCATATCCTCGTATTCGAGCATATTGTTCTGCATGACGGGCAGCGGATATTCATCGGAGAAGTCGATCTGTCTCTTGTGCCTCGTCTGCGACGCAGTGTCCATCTTCCTGTTCGACCTATTCTTCATTTTGCCTTCGTCCAGGTCCTCCGAGACACTGAAGGGAGTTGTCTGCCATTCGCTTCCTTTGTCTTCGTTATATCCTTGCCTGATGAGTTGCTGAAGGTCCAGGGGCTCGCTGTGCGTCTCGCGATCGTCGTTCAACGATCTCCCGTGACGATTGAGCACTCGCGCGATTATCCTTCCCGACGTCATGCGACCTCGTTTCACGATACCCGGCCAGTCGGCGTTCCTCGCCAAGGAAGCGACGCTGCGCTTGCCGTCGTCGTATTCGCGGACCGTCTGATGGCCGCCGTTTCGCGCCAGGGAGCCCAGATAGCGTTTGCCGTAAGGCAGAGAGGAGTCCCTGGCTAGTGCGGCCACGTTTCTCTTGCCGTTCTGCGGCAGCATGTCATATCTCGCCAGCGAGGCGACGTTTCTCTTGCCGCTCAGCGGCAGCATGCTCTGTCTAGCTAGGGATCCAATGTTCCTCTTACCGTACCTCGGTAGACCGTGATCGCGAGCCACCGAGGCGATGTGACGTCTGCCCGTAGGCAACGCGAAATCCCGCGCCAGGGAACCGACGTTACGTTTGTCTGGCGGGTACTCGGCCACTTCTGGATCCAGCTCGGACAGGTAATCGTAGATCTCGGGCACTCGTCGACGGTACTCCTCGTCCAGCAACTCACGCATCAAGCCCTCCACGTTATCACTTAATTCAATAAACCAATTAATTCGTCAATTTAATTAACCAATTAATTCATTCAATAAACCAATTAATTAATTAATTAATTAATAATTTGATTGAGCATGTTAAACAAATAGAAAAACAGTAACTTTTTAATGATAAAATGTAAAACTACATTATTACATCATTAAAAAAAATGGTTTATAATTATTATAATTTAAGATTTTATTTATAATTTTAATTATTAAAATTGTTAAAATATACATATATAATAATTATTAGTTTTCTTATTTAAAAATTATCTTGCTGTTTTGTCTATGCAGAGAGATTTTAATTTTTCTATTGTCTCCCCATAAAAGTTTGAATTATTAAATGCATTTGAACATCAAAACCATTAAAATCTGCAGCAAATATATACCTAGAAGGTGCGCTCCTCTTTTCTTCGTCATCAACGTCGTCATCGCGTTCTTGTATACTGATCGGCAGGTCGTCGTTCTTGGCCAAAGTAGCGAGACTGCGTTTTTCTGATTCGGGAATTAAGTCCGTCGAATCGACTTCTTCGTCCAGAAGACGTCCGGGAAATTCGGGCAACTTGTGAGTACGCGCCATGACACTGAGATGACCTCGCAATGCCGGGTTCCTAAAGAGCTCCCAGTAAACATTAACGGGTATGCAGATCTCAGTGTCCTCGTTTTCTTCTGAACTGAGAGCTTTCAAATGAGCCATGTCGTTATGATTTTTCGTTTCCGGAATGATCCTTGCCGTTCTCGAATAGGCTGCTAGATTCGAACTGACCTCCGGTAGGCGCAACAACACCATAAAAGTCTTCTTTGGTATGCATTGGCTGCCTTCTTCGTATTGACACGTCACCTGAAGCGAAATGAAGAGCGATGTTATGGTTTCATAATTCTTTGTCGTATATACCAGCCACTTAACAAAATGCAAACGTTATTTCTTGCATGGAAAGGTTTAGATATATATTCATATCCATTAATCTGTTTTTTTATTAAACAATATAATTATATGTCATATATATAAAATTATTATTAATTATATTATAGTATTACATAGAATAATCATATATTATTACAACTTTAACAATTGTTTATTGTTTATCGACAAAATTGTTACAACAAACGAATAGTAAAAATAATGTATAAAATATGCAGAAATTCTGAAATGTTTTATAGAGATATACCAGAACATTCATTCTTCTCCGATTTCCTCGAATTGTCGATTTTTGTCACACGATCCTATTAAGTCCTTTATATATAACAATATTATCCAAAAACGACAAAGCCTGCGCCTAATATCACGCATGAGTGTGTTTCGCAGAATATCTCGTAAATATACTTTATCTCCAGTGTCGGAACCATGAACGTTTGACCAACCAAAAAATACCATAAAACGCAGAAAAGATCGATGCCTCTTTATTTTCCGCTTGATATCCCAGGAGAGATAGGTTCCAAGCTTATTCATTCCTTTATTAACAATAACTTTATCATTCTTGTATTTATGTTTATACAACTTTTAACTTCGCAAACTAAATTTTAACTATTATAATTTTTTACTTAAACGATCTTAGATAATAGAATTGTTTGTTAAAAACCAAAAATATAGTTATATATATAATATATATAAATATTAAACGTCTTTTAATCACAGTATTTAATGATCTTAATACTGAAAGTTATAGAAAGATGTGCAACAAGCTAATCAAAGCTTCAATTAAATTAAATTAAATTAGCCACGAAGAGAAATCAATTGCCAAATTGATGAAGTGATTTACGAGCAAAATTTGTAAAAACAATCCGCGATAATAGAGTTCGTGAATAGAATTTATATACGAGAATGAAATACCGATACGACGTACGCTCGATGTTTCCAACATTCCACTTCATTTTAATCTCCATTATTTAACAATGCTCAAGGTAACTCAGTATTTATACAATCCGTTAAACTCCGTTTTAATCGATTATCGTGGATCCAAGTCACGTGCGCGTCTCACGGCAAAGCAACCGTCACGTTCTGACATTAATTTTTCAGAGGAACGTGACGCGTCAGCAGCGCAATATCGGGAAACAATATGATTCGTGTCTACGAGAATTTATGAAAATTCAACGAGATACGAGACTGCGACAATTAATCTGTGGACACATAATATGCGAAATACCAGCCAACTGCGCCGTAATTAAATGATCGTCCCGATGTCAGAGATGAATTAAATCTCTCTGCGGCCGCAACATGCCATTTATGTATGTGATCGAGGATATATTACACTATGGTTTACGCGGAATACGTGATGCGGATTGAAAATGGAAGTGGAAGGAGTATCACAGTTTGCGAGATATCAGAAATACGTAGTATTTAATATCTATCACCGGAATTTCGTGACATGTGTATCAAAAGTCATCTACATGTATATACGATACCTTATAAAAAAAAGTGGCTATAAAAGTTTTTATTGCAATCTATTAAATTCATATTTTTTACAGTAAACGCTAATAGAATTTGAGAATAATGGTTGATGCACTAGTATTTTTTACGAAAAATTTAGATTTTATTGAATACTTTTTGCGATAAATTTTTTTATAAAAAAAGAAATAAAAAATCATATGTAATTATAATGATTATTATTATTATAATTATAATGATTTATCTTATTGTAGTTATTGCACTAATCGTATTCAAAATTTATATTGTATAATATTGTAGATATTACATGATGTTTTGATTTATTATTAACTTATTTTAAATCCACAGTTTATGCTAATTTTAATTAAGTATCTTGGCAAAATTATGGCCTTGCGTAAACTCTGAAATGGTTTGCACATTTCGGTCAGATGTTGTTGACATTAACTGCGTCTACATGTTGGCTTGTAGATGTTTGATAATATTATCTGAACATGAAACGTTGCATTGTGTATTTGGATGTACCTTTTGTCATTAGAATGTGATAATTACTGTAAGAAAATGGCTACAAGAAAACTTACAACATTGATATAAGAGAAAACTTTAATATTTAAAAATATACGCATAGTTAACATAAAAGAAGAAAAATATAATATAATAGTACAAAATCAAATATATATTCGATATAATAGAATCTATAAAATTGTCAGAATTGATTGATATTGGCAAAAATGAAAAATAAACATAAACTATTTATCGTGAAATATGTCACTATTATATATTGTTATTAATGTTATTAAAACGCTACATTAGTGACGCTTCAAGCTCAATTTTGGTGAAGCGCGTGACGTCAAGCTCTGGACATGATAGCTACAATTATAACGCACATCTGTGACCAGAATACCATGTGACACCTGTAGTTCACATATTGCAATGCAACGTGGATGTTAAATTTAAATAAATAATTTTGATATTTGTAAAAATTGAATTAATTTTTCTACTACGATTTTAAAGAAATTTAATCATCATCGAAATAAATTTAGAAAAAAAACTTTTTAATTAAACACCGAAAAATTCAAGTGACAAATAAACTTTGTCAGAATATTTCAAATATTTATACAGTTTTGGGTAAAGTGAGAAATAGTCTGATGTACCATATGAATAAAATATCAATTATTCAAGAAGTCCGCATAAGAAAATATGCCAGAAGTAGAGAAAATTTATATTCGAAAGTAATTCTACAAAGTTTGTTGCAGGAGAATTCATTATAGATAACACGATACATTTTTCATATAACACAGAGAAAGAAAATAAGAGAGAGAGAGAGAGAGATTTTTAAAAAATATAGATTTTCCTTTCAATATTTCAAATTATACACGCACCTGCTGCGTTTTATACTATACAATTCTCGATCTGCATGTGGGGAATATACGGATACATAAATAGGGAAAACGCACACGCGAGTACATTTACAAAAATTTGGTTGCGTCAGCTACAATAATTTAATTTCATTTATTGTATATCCATCCACATTTTTTCTCTGCAATATTAAATTTATTTTTATGTAACATGTTTCTTCAATAATAAACCAAAATTTATATCCGTTTAACAATAAATAAATTTTCTATGTTATTATATGAAAGCAAAGGCTAATAATGTTATTTCCGCAAAGCGCTTGTAAATTAATTCGTTTAACATGCTAACACGAGGATTCAACCTTGTAACGTTAATGAAATAAATGTTTAATTATGGGGTCAATTCTGGGAATTATCACTCCGTGCAAAAGGTCACGGGATAATTTTCGTTCGTACGCAGGAAATGTTACCGGTATATGTAATCGCGACCATGTTTCATTAAACCCTTCCGTCTCTTCAATGCATGTGTTAACTTTGTGTTAACTCGTGTGATCCTCGACTGAGACTAAATTGAATTCCTCCACTACGGCTTATCCTGTAAGGAAAATGCGCGCGAATACTAAGTATTAACTTTCTCGGCAGTCAACGCGAAATTCTATTTACAATCTTGCGAGCAACCACGCGTAAATGTATATTATCTGTGTGTATATGTATACATAAAATGATAATAGTTTTAATTATATTAAATAATAGTTATAAAATTTCTATAAAACAATATGTAAAGTATGCTATTATTTAATGGCTTACACAAAAAAAATTCTGAAATAAATATGAATTTTAATAATAAAAATTTCAAATATAATTTTCAAAATATTATATATTACAAATGAAAATAAAATATTACCATTTATAATTGCCTTGGTATTTATTTAGAAATTATTTTAATTTGCAAATTTTTGATTTATTTTAACTTTTTATTTATCTAGAAAATTATTTATATAATTGGAATAATAAAAATTTATTGATAACTTAATCTGAAAAATTGATTAAGTATCTCTAGAAGATTTCAAAATTTCTTTATATAAACAAAAAGATTTTCTTAAAGAAAACTTTATTGTACTATTACAAAAAACTTTATTTACTGATCCTTTCAAACGAGATCATTTCTAAATACAAATTTTTATTGAATTATCTTTTTAATGTATATTTATCAAAATGCACACATTGCTGGTCAACTTTAGCTTTAGAAGATAGAATTCTCCTCATATCTCTTCTATCGTGCGCAATATTCAAATACTTTGGTAGATTGCAAGGACTGTTCTTGACGGAGCGAAGCAATGTAAATTCTTGCTGTCTTATACGAAATTCTGTCGATAGTAAAAATATTCAATAGCTCATCTCCGTCGTCCGTTGCCACTCGGACAGATACTTTTATTTTTTTTCCCCGCCTCCATCTTTTCCATCACAGCATTTTCACATTTAAGTTAGTTTATTGACAAAGTAAACGTCTGGAAAATTTAGTTCTGCGACTGCGCCACAAATTTCGCAGAGAGATCAGGGATACACTCGTCGACAATGTACAATCTGGACAACCCGTACATTCTGAAAGCTATTTTCTTCAGTGGAAAATGTGGATTTACTTGGTAAAAAATCCCAGGTTAATAAAATCTCCTTATTTATTTCCGTCGCACACGAAACATTAACGATTCGTATCGATGTTATCGCGATCGAGAATTATTGAAAATTTTTCTCTATTAAAGAGACAAGGAAAGAGACTCTAAGCATAAACAAATAATATAATAATAATGATGATATAAAATAAAAATAAATATAGAAGTAATAATATAAAAATAATAATAAATTGCTTAATAAATTTAAAGTATATATTGCGAGCAATATTAGAATATTTAGAACATATTTGTTTTATAAATAATTAAAACTCTAACTATATAAATAAGTTATACATAAGAACACAATTATCTTGAAACTATATGAATATATCGCGATTATTTTTCGAATATGTCATATCTTGAAAAATTATATTTCTAATAAAAAGAAAACGCCGACTGCAGCAAGTTGCTCGAACAGGACAAAACTTTTTCT